GAGATAGAACGGCCCGCTCCTCTTCAACAATGACCTCGTTCCTGCCTGGCGCTGCCCAGGCCAGGCTGCAGTGCCCAGACCCATAAAGCCGTCAGCAGAGACAGGGCTGCAGTGCCCAGACCCATAAAGCCGTCAGCAGAGACAGGGCACGGCCCTTTATGACACAAGCTTCTGTGTAAAAAGCTAGCATTGACTTGCCCTGCTAATGGCCAGGCTAAAAATACACCCACAATAACAGCTTCCTACCTCACAATTCAGTGCCTCTGAATCAAGGTGCTCGGTTACGTGCCTGTTGCGGCATAAAAAAACGGCATAAAACACGGTGCCGGTTGCCATTTCTCGGCAAGTAATCGGACAGAGCGGCCCAGCATTGTGAACCGGTGGAAGAGCGTGCCTCTATTCTAAGTCCCACGCCAATACGAGAGGTCATTCAGCAGGTCCCCGCGTACGGGCAAGTTGGAAAAGCAGCCATGGAAACAGGTGCACGCGGTGGTTATCCTGGCAATTTAGCCACAGGCCCTTCCCCGGCGATATTGTGACACAGCACTTTCTGGCTGGAGACCAGGGAGCCGGGAGTGTCTCCGTTACCCTCGGCACGGCACGCGAAACAGGAGGGCACCCAGAGCGCCGGGAAGGCCTTCCACAAAGCCTCGTTTTATGACATACGCGCCGTGATTGCAGCACTAGGGGCCTTCCGATTCGTAAAATCACTCAAATGGAGCGCCGTGCTGTTACATGCTACATGTTTGAAAATGTGCAATATATGAGAGCCTATTATTTATCACCTTTCTTACTCTTTGTTGGTGAGCCTGCATGTTCCTTGCTGGCATACTGGTTTCTTGGCTTGCTTTAAATGCACTGGCATTATTGACATTGGGGATGTGTGTGGCTTTGTAGCCATGATTGGAAGGTTGTTGGGTCGAATCCCATGAGGAGCAGAGTAATCATATCACTGTCGGGCTTTTCAGTAAGGCCCCTAACCCCAAAAACTGCTCCAGGGACTCTGGATAAATGGCTGCTATGCTTGCGTGTCTGTTTTTCATTGGAGAGGAAGACATGGGAAAACTTAAGAAGCTCCATGTACTTTTGCTGATATTATAGTGATTAAAGTATCATTGGGACTGAGTGTCACCTACGGTACCAGTGAAAAGTTTGGACACGCAAAGCCGCCTACAAAGGAGAGTGACAGTGTCGCATAGCATGACCTGGCCATCTCACCTAAACACAGCAGAAATGGGTTTGGAGGAGTTTGACCAGGGAGTGAAGAAAAAGTGGTCAATAAGTGCTCAACATCTATGTGGGACCACCTGGACATCTGGAAAAGCACCCCAGGAGGTCACCTCATGAAAGGGCTGTAGAGGAGAAAGCACGGTCAGATAGTCCCTGGAGTAACTGGGGTTAAGGACCTTGCTCAAGGGCCCAATGATGGGATAACGCTGCCAACCCAGGGATTTGAACCAGCAACCTTCTGAGTCCCAACACACACAGCTGCACCCCCCCCCNCAGTGTTGACACACCACACAACAATGAAATGTGTCCTCTGCATTTAACCCATATGTGACATCATGACACAACAGGGGGCAGCTAATTCAGCACCCAGGGAGCAGTGCTTGGGGGCGGTACTTTGCTCAGGGTACCTCAGTGGTGCCTTGCTGGTTGGGGATTTGAACCAGCAACCTTCTGAGTCCCAACACACACAGCTGCACCCCCCCCCCCCCCAACAAATTATAATCATTCTTTAATGTGACGTCTTTACATCACATCAAATTATTCTAAAACGTATAGGATATGCCTACAATACAGATTTAACAGATTTCTCTGAGTAGGTGGTCCAAAATTTGACTGGTCATGTACAGGTGACATGGTCTATGTGTGTGTGTGTGTGGGAGGGGGGGTTGGATAAATAGGTTTGGAGGAGTTTCACCAAAGAGTGAAGAAAAATCAGTCAATAAGGGGTCCAAATGGCCCCAACAATGTGATAAAAACCTTGTTATTTTGACATTGTGGGCACCACTTTTCAGGCCCCCACAAACATTTGTGAATGCAATCAGAAAAGTAAAAATGCCAAAAGTCTCGTATTTTGTTTGGTTACTTATGGTTAAGGTTAGGGCTGGGTAGAGGTTAAGGTTATCATGTTGGGATCAGAGTTTTCCCTATGGAAATGAACGGAGAGTCCCCAGAAAGATATAATTACAAATCTGTGTTTGTGTGTGTGTGTTCATTCTTGTGAACATGAGTGCATGTGTGTGCGTGTGTTCTTGTGAACGTGTGTGTGTGTGTGTGTGTGTGTGTGTGTGTGTGTGTGTTCGTGTGAACATGTGTGCATGCCTCAGAGAATTATTGCCCGTTTCAGGCCCTTTCTAGCAAGATTCGACTCCTCATTATAGAGAAGGAATGCAATGTCAAGGTAAGATGATCAGTCCCGTGCGAGTTCCATAGGCCAATGCAGCCCAACCAGCTTTAATGGAGATTAAGAGAACTAAGTAAAAGGTCCAGGAGAAAACATTTAGGAGAGGAACCCTGCTTTCTGAAGAGGGATGTGCCCTTTTTGGTGTCTTACAGAGGAGATTAGCTCAGGTCCAGAAAGTAAAAATCCAGACCAAGGTTTTGTTTCAACCAACCAGTTGAACAGTTGAGTACTCTGCTGGATGGTTGAAACAAAATATTGGTCTGGATTTTTAATTTTTGGACCTGAACTATCCTCCTCTGTTCTCTTAGTTTCAGTCAGAAGTATATAGTTTATCATCTTTAAAGGGCCAGTGCCCCTTTCTATGTTTATCCCTTCCTTCAGGAAAAGCTGTTTTATAAATTTGCTGATCTCAGGTGGCCCCTCATATACTGTCCTGACAGCGGGAAGTCGCTTCCCCAAAAGACCCATGTTCCAAATCCTCACTTCTTCTCGGCACAAGCAGCAAAGCCCAAAATCAGTTCTGGAGCTAATCCACTTGAACCGGGATTATATGGGAAACGCAACAATGGAGAATGACAGGGAATGCCAAAGTGAGACTCATTCAAAGAACACAAAGCAAGGCATTTAACAGGTACGAAATACCAGCGTGTACACATTTCTATAAATACGAAAGGAACTGTTTACAATGCAGATAGTTTGGTCAGATTCCACGAGTCTTGTGCTGTGTGATATCACATTCCCACACGCCTGCACCTCCCACACTCCACACTCCAGGGACGCACGCACCGTAAGTAAAAAGGCACACGGCGCTGCTGAACCCTTCTCATCAATGTGCCTCTCTCGCCATTTGCAATTAATGGTCCGCAGAAGTATGTGTGTCAGTCCCTTGGCTGGTGGTGGCAGGAGGAACAGAGAGAGGAGACTGGGCACACACACACACACACACACACACACACACACACACCGCTGCCGGGAGAGGCACACTTCTCAATAAGCACACAACTGCATATCAGTGATCGGTAAGCATGGAAACATCCTACCCCGCCCCAAAGAAAAATTAAATACTTCATTAAGTGCTTCAAAAAAGATGAGTGTCATGAAGATGAGGAAGAGTATGTAAAGAAATCAGTAGAAATCTACATTGTTACCCCCCCACACACACATTACAGAATACACACACACACACACACAACCCCAAGCAAACAAAAGGCTCTACGTGGTTAAGTGGAGATCAGAGGGGCTGAGCCTAGGCATGAGGGAGTGGATGGCAGATACATCGATTCAGAAGAAAAAGCAGACACACTCACTGGAGGAGGACGGGTGATTAATAAAACATCAAAGGCAATGGCCACCATCCCACACACACCTACTGGGGTTCCCCATTACCACAAAGAGGGTTAGAGTGCGTCAGCAAGCAAGAGGGCGTCAGTTACGCAGGATCACAACCCCCCAATCCTGCAGCATCGCATCAACATCTCTGAAATGTAACTTTGCCCCCCCACACACACACACACAGATCACCAAGGCTATGACCATGCAACTGTCACTCTGCTCCCATGAAGCCATGCACCTCAGATTATGCCCAGAACTGCGAAGGAGAACTTCGGCATCAGCAGTGGATGCCAGCTTGGCAGAACCTGAACCGCCCCCCCCCCCCATCTTAGCCGGGAAGGAGAATGTGCGAGCTCACGTTCTTCAATGTCTTTTTATATGGGGGGTGGGCCGTGACGCCGCTGGCTGCACGCGCTCGGTAAGGTGTCGATCTCACTGCTGCTGCCAGCTGGATGGGTAGCTGATCAGCACGCTCCCCCATGCTTCATTCATTCCAGGTGTTTCTAAGAACGGGAAAAATGGCCGGCAGCTACGTTTGGCACGCTCTGCCACTGCGATCCGCGCGGCGTGCCGTCGGGTCCACTGACAGCAAAAGTCCCTTAAAATGCCCTCTGATCACACCACAGCGCTGGGCACCAGTTAGCGGCACCGCCTCTCGTGCCCCCGAACGGAACCTGCGGCTCTTTACTGCCCCTCCTGGTCTCGCTCACTCTCCGGTTCCGTCCTTGCGATCACGGCAGGGGGGACAACAAGTCTGTCTTTTAGGAGGGGAGGTGTGGACCACTCTGGTGACTAGAGCAAAGTAGTTGCGACGAGCTTGTAAGACAGGACACGCGCGCTCAGACAGCCCGCTGTCTGCTCTCATTGTGCCACAGAAGGTTTAAATGCCGGTCGCCCGTCCGCGATTTCCGAGCCCACTCAGCGGACGGAGAAGTGCGCGTGAAGTGCCCCCCCCCCCAGCACGCTCAGCGCGCTCAGCGCGCTCCTGCGCTCAGAAGCAGAAGGCAAACACCCCCGGCGGTAATGATTCTCCGACACCAGCCTCGGCACAGTGGGAAAAGGAGGCAGGAAGATGCAGGAGAAAAGACATTTAAAAGCTCAGAAGACCGGCGTCCCCCCCCCCCCATTCTGTCCTGGGGGGCAGGGTGGGGTGGAGGGATCAGTTCCTTAAGAACCGAACCGAGACCGATTACAGCCGAGCAGATATCTGTCTGAACTTGAGCACGGGCGTCCCGGCTTAGGGGCGGCATCCACGTACCTGTGCGTCCCCGGAGTTTCTCTCCTCCTTCCCTTCCTGCGCTGGGCGCCTGATCCAAGTCCGTAAAAGCACAAGCGGTTCGGCAGCGCCGGACTCCTGCGTGTCTCCCGGCGGCGGTAAGACTCCACTCCGCTCCGCTTCAGCACAGTGACGGCGCTCTGGATGTGAGACACTTCCAAGCTGGAAAGGGGGAGGGCGCTGAACAGAGTGGGGGGCAATGTCCTTCGTCAAAGTCCTTTTTCCCCTCTCCCTCCCTTTCGTTCGGCTACCCTGCTCTCTCTCCTTCTGTTACTTCCCTCCCTTTTTAGTCGGAGGGCACAGGGAGAGCCGGAGTAGTGAAAGTGCTGGGTAAAGGGGGGTCTTGTGGGTCCCCTTGGTGAAGGGGTGGCCCGCCCGCCGGATTCCCCGCTTTGACAGATGTGCCCCCCGGGGCGGAGCTCAGCCCATCATCCGTGCACGGCTCCCGGCTGAACTTGGCCGCTTCCCCCGCGCTCCCGGGCGGAGCAGCCGCAGACTCGCTGGTTGACTTGCTACACGCTTCTCGCTGCTTTCATTTATCTTCCAGGCGCTTGGTCTCGGTGGTTGGAAGCTGAGTCTGTCTCTCTCAATCTCCCCTGCTCTTCTCTCACCTTCCTCTCTCTCGCTCTCCTGTCATCTCTCTCACTCTCTCTCTCTCTCTCTCTAGCTTTCTCTCTGTTTCTCCCACTCGCTTCTCTCGCCTCTTCCTTTTAATATTTATTTTCACTCTCTCTAGCCTTCTCTCACATCTCTCACTTTTTCCTTCTCTATCTCTTTATTTCTCTTCTCTCGTGCTGTCCCATCCATTCTTCTTCTCAGCCCTCTTACATCTTATATCCTTACTCTCGTTTCTCTCTCCATCTTTCCTCCTCTCTTCATCTTATCTTTTTCACTCTCTTTCTCCTGTCAGCTCTCTAGTCCTCTCTTCCATCCTTCACTCACTCTTTTTTTCCCTCTCTCCAGCCAGCTCACTTTACACTGTTCTCTTTACCTCCCACCCACTCCCTTACTTCTCCCCACCTCTCCGCTCCTCTTTTCTCTCATTTCTCTTCACCCCTCCGGTTCTCCCTCACATCTGATCGTTATCCTTCAGGCAAACATCGGCACTTTTAAACGCTATAGCGCGAACTCCGCGCCACCTGCTTGCAGGTCCGAAGCGCGGAGCTACACAGGCAGCCTGAACGCCAGGATGCAGGGCGCTCCCTTTGCTTCTGACCTTAGGAGGCGGGGGGCGGCAAGGGGGCGGCCCCAGGCACAGTAGCGCAGAGGTGCGCACAGATGTGCGGAGCGCAGCCTCCTATGCGCTCGGCAATTAGCGGCGGAAACAAACCGGGAGTCAGCTCCCTATCGCTCCCCGAGCATATGGCGGGGGGAAGCGGGCAACTACAAAGGATATCAATCCGATCAAAAAGAAGATTTTTTATAGTCTAAAAACCATCCTACTTAATATAATTTCCCTGGCACTGTTGCCCTCCCAACAATGCAGGGAAGGTGCCAACGCCGCCGATAGACAGTAACGTCATTAAGTCGGCGTGGGAGGCGGCGTGGAGCCCCGGTCTCACCTTTTTTTTGCTAAACTGTAAAGTAATTATAGCAAACAGTAAGCAGTGCAGATAATACGAATCTCCCCCTTGTTAATGGATATACTAGCACCGAGAGTCTAATGTACCTTAGTACATTATCAACCGATCCTGCCTCGATTTATTGCCTAACAGGAAATATTCAGGTTTGTCTGTATACCTGTCATATATAGGCCTATTTATAAATAACAGCCGTATTTCCTTTTTTCGGATGCATTGTTTGTTTTCTAAGTTGCATGAGGTAACACCCGTAAGAAACGCTTGTAAAAGGGGGCTACGTCTTGCTGATTGGAAATCCTATGACGGTGAGCGTGTGCTCTTTACCTGAATTGCTTTTGGAAATATTTAGTTTCCCAAATTAATGTAATTATAAGCTGTTACATGCTAGTCATTTAGAATAAATGCCAATGTTAAAAAATAATTAATGTCATTTAATGTCGCCATTGTTTTCCATTGACTTACACGCAGAAGCGGAACGTCAGTGACATTAATAGCGATTAGCAACGAAGGCTAATTGACAGTTAATCCCTTATCGCTGAATGCACGTGCACTCTGGTAATCACGTGACGTGGCCAAGTGTCACGTGGTCTATGACTAATTAAGCACGAGTCGGTTAAACATTTTGTTTGTTAAAACGTACAGCTAAAACTTTTTAATAAATAATATGTAGAGTAATATCCATGTTGATGTCGTGTTTCTAGGGGAGTGTTATGTAGCAGGCAGCAGTCATATAAACTCATGGCATTCAAATTAAAGGATGCTTTATTTGCCATTTATACAAGTGTCCTCCTATCTTGCTCTTCTTAGAGAGCAAAGTCTGGGGTTCAAGTACAGGGTCAGCCTTGCTCCACAGCAGCTTTATAATCAGTGGTACCAGAGTCCTAACCCACTGAGACACACACTGTTGCCCCAAATCAATATGCCAGGGTGGAACGCAGAGCCCCCTATGTGCAAAGCACCCCCTTCCTTCAGAAGGAAGGATGCAGTAAAGTCTGTCCTGGGATGTGAACCAACAATGTTTCTGGGGAAAGGTCATACCTCCAACCATCACACAAGCTGCGGATATAGATGTATATTCTGATAAGAATAATTAGTGACATGAACGTTAAGCAGCCTAGTCCTAAAGAAGTACATGCAGTTACTGTAGGTTTTAAACAAAAAAAAACGGTGATCAGTGTTGACACACCACACAACAATGAAATGTGTCCTCTGCATTTAACCCATATGTGACATCATGACACAACAGGGGGCAGCTAATTCAGCACCCAGGGAGCAGTGCTTGGGGGCGGTACTTTGCTCAGGGTACCTCAGTGGTGCCTTGCTGGTTGGGGATTTGAACCAGCAATCTTTCAATTACAAGTGCACTTCCCTAACCATCAAGCCACCACTGCCCACAGTGATACAGAATAACATTAGACAATAAGAATGACACGTGAACTCAACCCAGAAGGTTCCTCGTTGGCTATGGTGAGCGAATGCCACTACTTAATTAGTGTCTCTAAGTTCCCCATAAGGTTTGCTTGTGTGTCCAGTGAGAGCCCATCATCTTGTTGCAGGTTTACCTTTGCCTTATGCCCTATGTTTCCCAGCTTGGGTTCTAGGCCCCTCTGATCATGACCAGCATTAGCAATCACTAGATGGATGGCTGGTATAATATACAAAATGACCACTTTAATAGGTACATCTGCTCGTTAACACAAATAGCCCGCTTCACCAAACAATGAATCATGGGGCTGCAATTCTATATAATGCACACAGACAGGGTTAAGAGGTTTGACTATGCATTAGATGTATAATAAGTGATTTTGAACAGTGTGATTGTTGGTGCTAGGCGTGGTGGTTCAAGGACCTTAGATATAGCCACACTCCTGGGAATTTCACACATTACAGAGTCTAGATTTTGCAGTAGTGTGATAAACAAAAAATCCAGTCATCAGCAGTTATGAGGGTGAAAACACTTTGTTAAAGGGATGAGGTCAGAGGATAATGGCCAGATTAGGAAGACCACAGGTGCAAAAGGACAATTCAAACCGACTGTGTGCACACAACACGTCTATACAATGAGTCTGTGTCTTGCAGAATGTAAGCTGTCCAAGGTTGAAAGGAGGTCCTACCTGAGAACAGGTATGTGTAGCCAAGTGTGCACCCTAGTATGCAAAATAGGTATGAAAAACAATTCCACAAAATGCTAGAAACTCATAACCCCAGAAGGTTCAATCGAGAATCACAGAAAAGGTATCTGCAATATTTGGCTGTATAGCATGTTTCAGCTGCCAGGTTTACTACATAGCTCATTGCTATTAGATTTCACACATGAAGTGATCATTCATCTATTTGGTGTGATCCAAAACAGGAAGTGATCATGCGTCTATTTGGAGCGATCCGAAACAGGAAGTGATCATGCGTCTATTTGGAGCGATCCGAAACAGGAAGTGATCATGCGTCTATTTGGCGCGATCCGAAACAGGAAGTGATCATGCATCTATTTGGAGTGATCCAAAATGGGAAGTGATCATGCGTCTATTTGGCGCGATCCGAAACAGGAAGTGATCATGCATCTATTTGGAGTGATCCAAAATGGGAAGTGATCATGCGTCTATTTGGCGCGATCCGAAACAGGAAGTGATCATGCATCTATTTGGAGT